TGGGCGGGCTGAGCTTCCCTCTCGCGGGCCTCAGGCTGGCATTCTCCGTCGATTAGGGAATTAGGTCCTCTCGCGGAGCGATCGCGCCTTCGTGAGCTAAAACGACGCTCACCTTGAGTGGGCAGAGGGCAAAGGAACCGATCCCAGCAGCTCCTTCCGGGCTGTGGGGAAACGCCTGAGGAGGTGGCTTTTATCTCATTTCCTCACTTCTTTGCAGAAGACGTTAGCCATTGCTCCCTTTTTTCCAACCTGGGGGACCCAGAATAGATTTTTCTGTTGGCTTCTTTAGGTGAGTTAGTGTGAGGGTGAGGCTCTGTGTGTCGGGGGCCCTCTCGCCTCCCCCCAGCCCCACACCCTGGTGCCCAGAGCCCCAGGGAGGAGGGAGTGGAACTCGACGTTGGCAGGAAGGTGCCCTGGAGTGAAACTGGTTCCCCTCACCTTCCCTGAGCGGCAGATCCGAGCGCCTGGCCAGACTCAGAAACCTCAGGCCGGCTGACCCCAGGGTGCTGGAGGAGTCGCTGGAAGCCGGGGGCTTAATTTCCAGGGACTTAGAAATCAGCGTCAACCAAGGACCTAACCTGCCCCCTCCCCCTCTCACAGCCAGACACCCCCTCCCCCGGGTACCCCTCTCCTTGTGAAAGTAGTTTTCTGTTTACGACAGTGCCTCGGTTTGGAATTGTGATTAAATGAATTAGGGAAGGTTTGGACAGCAGATTTGCCAGATGAGAAGAAATAGGAGCTGTCAGTCCACTGCAAAGACCCTGCTTCCAGATCTGGCCACATGCTGAGGTTCTAGGAGACCCCCCCCCAACATCATCGACGTTACTGTGTCCCATGAGTCGCAGCGGTGCAGGGGTTCAGGGGTGTATTGCAGGTGTTACAGCCCTGGCCGGTTTGGCTCCGTGGTCAGAGCGTCGGCCTGCAGACTGAAGGGACTCGGGTTCAGTTCCGGCCAAGGGCACGGACCTGGGTCGCAGGCTCGATCCCTGACCCTGGTCGGGGCTCGTGCGGGAGGCAGCCCATCGATGTGTCTCACAGCGTTGTTTCTCTCTCCCTTCCCCTCTCTCTGAAAAGCAATGGAAAAAATATCCTCAGGTGAGTGTTAAAGAATGATAATAATAAAGCGTTAGGGTGGAGCCAGTTGTCTCTGTCTCTGCAGCGGGGCTCCGCCCGCGCCCGGAGCTGCCCCCCTCACGCTCTGCTCCCCCCTCCCCCCAGGCCTTGCTGAAGATGGACTGCCAGGGCCTGGTGGTCAGGCTCATCCAGGACTTTGTGCTCCTGACCACGGCCGTCGAGGTGGCGCAGCGCTGGAGGGAGCTGGCTGAGAAGCTCGCCAAGGTGTCCAAGCAGCAGATGGACGCGTACGAGTCTCCCCACCGGGACAGGAATGGGGTCGTGGACAGCGAGGTGAGCCAGGCGGCACTTCTTCCAGCCGGTAAAATGCAGTTGTAGCAATGCCTGTTTTATAGCGTTTTCATTGACGACGGAATGGGTTGGACGTGAAAGCACGTGCCCAGCGCACAGTAGGCCCCCACTGAGTGGGGCGGGTCCCGTCCTTCTTGGGGTCTTCAGCGGTGACTCCAAATCTGACGTGGGCAAGGCCACGTGCCATGCAGTGGAATGTTGGAGCAGCATTGGCAGGACTGCCCATCCCCTGCTGGTCCCCACCTTAAATTACCTTCAGTTAGAGGGAGTGTGAGCCACAGCAGGCCGGGCTCCTGCTGAGACGTCCTGTTTTCTCACCTGTTGGTGGAGGTCACTAAGCTTCCAGAGATTAGGAAGGGGGCAGCTCCAGGCCTAAGGGTGTCCTTTATTAAACCGGGTGAATTTCTGAATCAGTGGCCCTGATAGAAAGTGCTATGGGGATTGTAAGGAGAGAAATCCTTTCTGTTGGTTGAGACACCATTGGCTACGTCCCTCCTCTAGCACAAAACACCCTGTTCCCTTTGAAACGTGCTGGCCCGGGACAGAGACGGTCACCTGTGGCGCCGAGTTGGCTCCGCTCTTACAGAGCAATGTAAACACTAGCAGAGGAGCTGCATCGGGGGACAGGTTCAAACGTCCGACTGCCCCTCACCTCTGTCCCTTCTCCCTCCTTTTGTTCTGGACGACTCCCTCCTGCAGGCCATGTGGAAACCCGCCTATGACTTTTTACTGACCTGGAGCCACCAGATCGGGGACAGCTACCGGGATGTCATCCAGGAGCTGCACACGGGCCTGGACCGGATGAAGAACCCTATCACCAAGCGCTGGAAGCACCTCACTGGCACCCTCATCCTTGTGAACACCCTGGACATCCTGCGAGCTGCTGCCTTCAGTCCTGCTGACCAGGACGACTTTGTGATTTGAACTGGTCCCCCCCGGTCTGCTCTGCCCTGGGGCCTGTGCCCCCCTCTGCCCCGGATGCAGTGACGTGTTGCTGGGAAGGGAGGAAGGGAGGGCTGGCTGCTCAGACGATCAGGGTGGCTCCGGGCTGGCCCCGTGCCCCAGGACCAAGCAAGCACACGCAGCACTCCACCCGCTGCCTCCGCCACGGGGCAGGGGGCGCCTGAAGGGAATTTCTACTGCAGGTCATTGCCAATCAGATAGCTTTCTATTTGTTAAGTATAAATTTAAATTTAAAATCACTTTTTTTAAAGTATGGGGAGGAGGGGACATACAAGAAAGGTGGTATCTAATTTTTTTAAGGGATCATCAAGGTTAAAAAAAAAAACACCTAATGGGGCAGATGCTGTTGAGGTTTTTATGTTCTCTAAAGATCTTTTTAAATTATGTTACAGATGTATATATGTATTTAAAAGTTATCCGGGGCATTTCATATCCCCAGACACTCACATTTCAACAAGAAGCACGGGAAGATGCTTGTTCGAGTGTTGGACCTTCTTTCACTCTGTACCTGTAAAAACGTAAATCGAATAGGAACCGTGGTTTTTTGGTAGATGAGTGTAGTAGCTCAAGCCCATTCTTTCTGAGAACGTCCTGGGTCATGTTCTCTCCTCTTTTGTTATCTTCTGTACCGTTGCCTCCTGGTGCAGTAAGTGACCAGCCACAGCGCATGTGGACTGTTTCGTGGGCAAAGTTAAGTCCGACATGCGTGACTGGTGCCCTTGAGATGAGGAAGCAGCTGGGAGCTGGCGTTCTTTGTGGCCCCTGCTCGTTCGAAAGAGCAACCCCGGCTGCAAGTGAGCTGGTCCCTGCAGAACTCCCCCTCCCTATGGTCACGAAGGAAACTTTGCCACAAGGACGCCCTCTGCAAGGTGCCTGCTGCCATTTGCCAAACTCTCGCTTCATTTCACCCAACATGTAACCCCTCTCCCTTCCTGGTATGCCCATGTCGCCTCGGAAATGAAAGGAACAGTATGGGGAGACGGTTTTTATTTACAATATAGAGATTATCTGAGCAGGATGAGCATTCTCAGAAAATGAAATAGTTCCCACATAATGTCTGGGACCTGGCAGAATGTGGCGTTGGTAACCTTTACGGTTGCAGGCCGACTTTCCAGGTTGAATTCTGTGACGGCGGTGTAGTCGAGGCAGCTCAGAGGGAGCAGGGGCACGACTGAAGTCCCCGGGAATGTACTCGTAGGAAGTCACGTGGGCCACTTGGATCCTGATCTCATTCTTTAAATCTGCTTTCTTAAAACACATTAATTACTTACTATAATCAATGTCTATTCCCTTATGGGGCTGAAACATTCTTACGTATCTACTGATTCAGATACTGAAGATCAACTGGCTAGAAAAAACAATGATACCAAAAACTAAAAACACTACATATTTTATGCTGCAAGAAGAACCAAGACACACAGTTCCCCAATCATCACACGTGACACCCTTAAATTCTACTTTTCAGCTCTCCCCCTTTGTTCTTCCACTGACCCTCTCTCCCCTTTTCCCCAAAGACGAAACAAAACCAGTTGCACCTTAAACCATGGATATTTTTCCTCAGGGGCTTAAAATAGTGTCCTATGCAACATATCTTGTAGCACAAATTAAATTCTACAGAAGTTGCAGTAAATTTTGTTTGGATATTTTGACCTCTTAAGTATGTGTCTGTGTGTTTTTTCCGTACCAACCAAACTTTAAATAAAACCTAGTGCAAATATCTGTGGATAGGACAATGGCTCCCTCCCCTAACAGTCAGCCCTTAGTGACAGTTGGGTTAGCAGGTATCCGTTTTCTTGATATTAATTTAATTGCTCTTGGAACGTAGGAGTCGCAGTCATCGCCGGCCAGTGGGAAATCGGTGTTGCCCGGAGCACGCAAAAGGTTCAAGGGGACGGCTTCCTTTATTTTGGCCCCATGCCCCTGGGACTGGCAATCCCAGTCCCGAAGTAGAGTTCAGGACTAAGCCATTCCACTGGCTGTTTCCACTTGCACCACCCACCTCACTGAGATAATGGTTTTGCCATGTTTTCTGGGTGCCCAGCATCTTGAGAACACTCTTGCTATATTTGGAACCCCCAAAACACAAACTCACAGCTTCCCTTGCAGCTAAATGCAGGTGTGTCTAGCTTCCACCACGTGGATCTCTGATCTCATCACCAACTTGCAGAAGGAGGCGAGGCTGGTGGCGGAAACATCTTTCTTCAGGCACCGTGGGTCCGGGGCAGAGCTCCTGGCCTGGCCGTGGCCTCAGTGGGATACGCAGGGCGGTGGCAGTTTCCCTGATGGGGTGGCGCAGTCCTCTGGAAGCTCAAAATTGAGCTCGGTTCTTGAGCTCTCCCGACTCTCTGAATTACCCAGTTGCCCTTTAGGAAGTCCCTTTTTAGAAGCGTTAGCCATTCTCAGTGTCTGTTGCTTGCAGATAAACACCTTGATTTCTGACTCTTTTTATTTCTTCAGGATTCTGCCCTGATACTCAGACTCTGGGAAGTGTTTCTGGACGCCCCATCTGGGCTCAAGGCCCTTTCTATGCTTTCCTGCAGAACTCTGCCCTTACCACAAATATAACCCAAATCTCTCTAGCAGAGCTTGCATTTGCTTCTGCCCCAGGCTGTAAACTGGGCAGGGAGGTGCCACAGTGCCCAGCTCAGGCTCAGTACATTCAAAGTCACACTCAACACGCTCTTGGATGGATGACTGAATGAACAGCTTCCCAGTGACGACTGCAGCTTGGTTCATTCAGGGAAACGGAGGCTGAGTACCTGGATCGCTCTGTGTGAAATTGGAGTGGCTTTTATCAAACAAATAGAAGTTTTATGGGGAGTCCATTCTGGATTTTTTTTTCTAGAAAGTTCTATCTCTACTCATTTTAGTTCACTGGTCTCCCCACTGTAATATTGCACACGTTTAGCTCAGCTGAAGCCCACACTTTGGAAGAAAAAGTGTTGTATTTTCACACATCCATGTATTTTTCTGCACTCCAAATGCAAAATCAGTTTACACCCGAGGTGCGGATTCTCGTACCTGGGTGAGAACAGCAGACACTTAGTGAGCATCTGCAGCCTCAGGTGAGCTGTCCTGGTGTCACAGGCCTCCCGAGATAGTCACCAGGGCACCTGAGGGAAGCGGAAGGCAGGAGGATGGGCAGGCCTCCGGGGCGGGCGGGGCGGTTGCCTGGCGGCCACTGGGCCATGGCCCTTCTAGAAGAGAAAGGAAGGGTCTGGAGAATTGAGTCACTCTCAGTGTCCACGCTGAGCCTGGTTAGAATCGACATCTACAGAATGAAGAATTTATGGTAAAATCCGTGCTGACGAGTCGCCTGAACCCTCTGTAACCCTGAAATACAAACGCGACCCTGCGTGTGCAACAAGAAGCGCCACACGAAGGCGTGTTCTGCGTGCAACCGGTGAATTCATAAGAATGCGGTTAGGGGTTCCGAATCTGAGTAACCGGAGTCCAGCTCGCCGAGGCGGTTTGCACAACGCCTTTCTGTCTCCCTAATTATCACATTTTCCATGTGATAGGTAAGTTGAGAAACTAAAGACAGAGAAGGGGATGGACGCGAACTGCGGGCGCTTGACCTAGTTAGAAATATATGCACAGGCCTTGGAGATTTATGTGCTTTTCCCAGGTCCTGGGAGATAGCTGTCACTTTTCAAATATTAGGTTTGTGCCAAATACATAGAGACATCCTAGCACCTGGGGTCGCTGCTATACGATCTCTCAAGCTATCAAAAGGGATACGTCTGTTTTTCATTCAGAAATCCCTACTCCATTTAATTCCCTTTTCGGTCTGTGGCATGTGACGTATTAAAAAGTTCCGTTTAAAATCTGATTGGATACTTGGCTGTGGTCGGGCAGCCTTCTGCCCCTGAATGGAAGAGCCTCGGCCGGTATCTCGCCTCGAACAAGGCGGTTAATTAGGATCGTTTTTCTCAACGTTCCTTCACAATACGGTGCTTTTCTCTGCATCGTTCAAATGCACGTCCTGTTCACGCTTAACTGTGTGTTCTGCAAGCCAGTCAGATCGCAGCAGAGCTCTGGTTGAAATATCTATTATTTGGGGTTCCCGTCTATTTTCTTCCACCCACAGCTCTTGGAGGAGGTAGAATGGGTACCAGCCTAGTCATCTTGAGAAAATGAAAGCATTCAACTATTTAAGGTCACTTTAAAAATGTAATCGCTGTGATTAAAGTGAATCTGCCCCACCTTGTTCTTGGGTGCCCTGGACTGACGACAAGCTCAGTTTCTAATGTGATGGTAAAACATTGATGGGAAAGAAACGTAAATGACTTCCATTTCTGGGTAGGAGGGGATGGCTGTGNACGACAAGCTCAGTTTCTAATGTGATGGTAAAACATAGATGGGAAAGAAACGTAAATGACTTCCATTTCTGGGTAGGAGGGGATGGCTGTGGATTTCGTGTTGTGATTTCTAAATATTCCAGCAGCCACAGTGCCTCTCCTGGGCCTCCCGGCTCCCACTCGCGGTCCCACTGTCAGCCCCTCCTGCTGAACTTTAATTAAAATCCAGGCAGTTGTTTCTGGGGAGGCCCCTCTGACTCACACAGCACCCCTGGGACTTGCTGGACCCCCCCAACTGAGAGGGGCGCATGGGCTGGTTGGTGCTTAGCAACAGGCCTGCCTCCACCTGCCGGTGCCTCTCAGGTTTCCTGCTGGCAGAGGGAGTGAATTGCCTCCCCGGCTGGACACCGTGCTCCACAGGCCTGGGCCTCGCCAGTGCTCCGTCCCCAAGGCTGTGGGAGCACAGCTGCCTCCTGTCCCCGTGGGGGTCCCCCTGGGCAGGTACACAGTCCTCTCATTTGCTATTCTTGTAGGACCTTGCAGGGTGTCCCCCCCGCGCCCAGTGCAGGCCTTATAAGCTTCGTCAGCACCTGGGAGGCGTGTGTGGAGTGCTGTGTGTGCACGTGTGTGAGCATGTGCGTGTATGCACCAGAGCTCGAGATCTGAGACAGGCCCCCTGGGTCCTCACCTTGGACAACACCCCCACCCCACCGCAGAAGAAAGGGCTCCTCAGTCTTAGTCCAAGGCCGTGTAAACTAAAAACATCCACACTTCCCTAGCGCTTGCTGTGCCTGCCTCAGTCCTAAGAACTTGAGCGATTTTACCTCATTTGAGCCTCAAGAGGCCCTGAGAGGTGGGTACAACTGTTATCCGCATTTCCAGATGAGAAAGTAAGGCCCAGAGAGGTTAAGTACCTATCCTACGGTCACACAGCCACAGAGTGTGGAGCTGAGATTCAAACCCGGGCAGCCTGGCCCTGAGGTCCTTGCTGTACCCATTCCTGCCGTACCCAGGTGACACTTCCTGTGGCTCAGAAACCCCAGCAAGAGACGGAAATGGTGACCTGCATAACTGAAAGTGGTCAGTAGCAAAACCTGTCCTTTCCCCCTGAGCGCGTTTTACGTGGAGACGGTTGAAAGGGGAGGTGGGTTTGCCGCAGGCGTCTCGGTTTGAATTTCCTCTGGACGAGCAGAGATACTGAGCTCGAGGCTCCGCACCTGCCTCAGCGGCGGCGGCGACGGCCGGGGCCCGCTGCCCGCGAGCGAAGCTCGAAGCTCCCGCAAATGACCGCCCAGCACAAAGGGGCAGCCAGATAACCCTCGGCACATCTGCACGGTGGGACCTGCTCAACCTCTGAAGGGACAGCAGAGCCACAGCCGGTGCGGGAGAGGCTCTCCAAGGCGTAGTGAGCGCAGAAACTAGGACAGCGGGTACAAATTCTCCTGCTTTCTTAAAAGAAGAAATAACAGGGCCATGCACAGAGCATCCCCAAATGACGGCCCAGACACCTGGCCTCGGGGTGCTGGGGCCTGGGCCTCCGCGTTTAGGGGACGGGCTCGGTTTCCGTCGTGTATCTTTTTGGGCCGCTGGGTTTCTTGCTCTGTACTGGTGATATTTTCGTGATTCTCTCTATATTTTTCGCTACAAATAATAATTTGTGGAATGAGAGTAATTTAGAGTTAGCTGTAAATATCCAAGGAACAGGACGAACACCCCATTTGCAAAATTAAAAATCAAACAAGTACCTAATTTGCATATTGTTAATCAGCTGAGCGGGCATATACGGGCAGATAATTGCCGCTGAGCTGTGTGCCCAGAACAGGACGTTCCCACCAGGGCCCCAGACGGGTCTTAGGGGGCCTGTGAACCCCTCGGTGCTGCACTGATTTTTTTGTTTATTAAGGTCTGGGCATCTTCTGAGGGGAATATCCAGCATTTTAATAGATTCTCATACAGGTTTATGAGCCACAAAATTTAACGACCCCTAGACTGCAGCCATGAGAAAGGTGATGTTCATATAAAAGACGGTGCTTTTCGGGGCTTTAGTGAGCATTAGAGGACCCTGCAGCACGCAGATAAACAGAGGGGGCGGGAGGCACTGACCGGCGGGGATGAGACGCCGCCT